GAACACTGCCCTTGTCACACCTTTGCTGGTTTCTTTGTGACTTTGGGTCCTCAAGGGCGGGTTGGCCGATAGGGGTGCTCGACGGCGCCTCCCGGAAAATTTGCATCCATTCCGGAAAGTACCACTGCCGGTAATCGGCGAGATCGTCGACGTCCTTTTGCAGACTCTCTTTCCGCATGGAAAATTTGACCCTGTCGAAGACGTTCCACGCCTTCCCGTCATAAGGGCCGAGCTGGTCTTCCAGGTCCTCGTATTTGCTGGTTATAGTCTTCCAGACCTGGAAAAAGCATCTCTGCTTGTCCTCGAACCTCTTCCATTTTGGCAGGACTGTTGCGGGCGTCGAGAAGTGCGTTGCCCAAGGTCTCGATTTGCATGATGACCGACCGAAGTCTCACAGTCACGCCATAAAGGTTATCGGAGGCGTTGTGGTAATTCTGACAGAACTTGTAGACCTTTTTTCCAACCCTGGAACGAGAGGAAGTCTCATGTCAGTTATTTCGCAAGAAATTGATGGAAATTTTTGGGTGTGTAAGGCATTACTGTAGCAACTCACTGGATACAGGTCTGAGCCGCTTCGATGACGGCAAAGGGGTCGGCCATGGTTGCTTGTCAGAGAGGCTGGCAGGAGAAACCAAGGTAAAGAAAAAGGCAGTCCGGCTGGATATTGCGCAAGGATTCTACAAATGATGGCAAGCAAAGACGGAAAGATAGGTAAGGACAAAGTCTGCAAGAACCGCTGAAAGGATCATAGGTCTTGATCCTAGATATACATCTTTTGGCCCAACCAACCCTCTTGCTCCGGTTCCTTTTGCCATTCGCAGACTTTGCCTTGATAAGAGACCCAGACCTTGCAGAATTGCGGCTAACGGCGGAAAATTTTTCCATTCGTCTTCCCAATGCTCCTTCCTCACAACAGAACTTCAATTCAATTGCCCAGAAGCTTCTGACATTCCTTCCCAAGGCATGCACCCCGTCCCCAGAGTTCTTGCAGGCAGCACAGTGCGGTGGTCTGGGCGGCTGCTGCTACAGTCTGTTGATCCTCACCAAGCCTGTCGGATGCTTAATAGTGTGTGAGATTTACGCACAGTACTCATGAAGCAGCAGTGGCTGCATCTAGACGCCTGTCTGAGGTCTCGACCATGGGTTGGGGAATGCTGCCTCTGCCGATCCAGCCGCTGATCCCATATACGATTTGGAAGGTGGGTTGCAGAAAAGAGACCGCAGCTTCAAAGTAAAACCCTACATATTGTGGTAGATAGCTTCCATCTTGATGGGCTAATGCTTTCAGACTAGCCACACAAAATGAACCTTCGGCTGCAGAATGTCGGAAACCGAACGGCGGCAAGTGATAGACGCTTCGGGTGGTCCTTGTATTGGTTGAGCTCTCCTCTTCTTGGTCTGGGCATGCAGTGAAAACTGCCAGATGCGAGTATCGATTGACGGAACAGGAATCAGTTCCTTCCTATCAACATGGAAGTTTATGTTTCTCAGGAGCCCCGAGGGTTCATCTCTGTCAAACGTCCCGGGCTATAAGCCTATGACTTGGAACATTGCCCCAGGCAAATCAAATCAAAAGCACCGGCGAATATCGGAAAATTACAGCAAACACTACCTCAGGATCAACCGCTCATCCTCTCAATACCTCGAGTCAAAGCAGTTACCCGTGTAGGTATGATTCAAATTCTGCCTTCCATGTGAGGACGACACGGTCTGGAATACCTCTACCAATAACTTGGCATTTGTTTGCCCACCTGCCTAAACCTGTACATCAAGGTAAGTCCGCGAGCGATTGCACAAATGTGGCAAAAAGGAAACAAGTTCAGACCAAGACACTAACGAAACTTCATAGCAGACACCAAACCATGCCTTCAACCTATGTGCATGCTACCTAAATACCTTACACAAAATTAAGGAGTATGACCAAAGGCTTCAATAGCAGCGACAATCCTCCGGCGGTGATGCTTTGCTTACCTTTAGGAGGCAAGAGTAAGACAGAGAGCTACCTGCCTCCCTGCCTGTTGTCAGAAACTCAGTACGAGACACATCCTCGCATGCTCCTCTCACCTTGGCTATAACCATTCCAGCCCATGCCCTAGGAATCACAGGAAGGACTTCAAGTATGAAGATGGGTGAGGCATGGGCGAGATCAAGAAGTCTATGATGCAACAACAGACAGAAACAAAAACATAAAAACAGCGAGTGTAAAAACAAAATAGACAAAAAGAACCAAAAGATAAAAGTCGGTAGAAAAAAAGGGTTATCCCGCAGTCCGGGACTCGAACCGAGGATTCCCGCTCGACAACTTCTACAGTATAGAGGCACTAAGTCACGTCTTTGGAGCGCAACAGGCGTACTAAACCACTACTTATACTAACCACGCTTTCTATTCCCATTTTGTTTCTTTGTTTGTTGAAATATTAGGCGGGGGAACTAGTATGTATAGCTCTACTTCCAGTCTCGAGCTGGGGCCAGGTGTTGGAAGCCAAGAAGGCGGGCCAGGGAACATGACTTGGAAGTAAGCGGTCCCACTCGTTTAGGACGCGGGTAGATTACCTGGTAAGTGTATGATACGCGTCGGTTCCATGTTTGCTGGCTGGTGCGGTCATGTGTCTGGAAATCCGGGGTATTCTTCACCCGGCCGAGGAAGGAATGCAGGTACGCTGAGCAACTCCTTACGGATGCGAGTATGGTGTCAATGGCTTTGAAGATGTTAACTCTTCTGGGAAGGCTCCTCGATGCAAGTGTCGATGAGAATGGGAGAGAAGGTGATAACGGAGTGAATTCTTCCACCGTCATCTGGAAGGCGCATGTGAGCCAGCCTCAGGCGGACGATTGAGGCTCCTTGACCTACAAATGGAACCAACACTGGAACAAAAACCGTGTACACTTTATAACACGCCAATGTCCGGTATATCGTTGAAATTAATAGAGGCATCGGGATCTGTCAAGTACATCACCGCTTGCTCGGTGCTTGGCCAGAAAATCACGGCTTGAAAGAGGAGCAGGATGCTTCGCAAGTTACCCCTGAGGTTCATTGTGCCTTGGTTTGCAAGTTGATACCCTCAGTCTAGGAATGGCTGGGCGCCACAAAGTGCCCGTGACAGAAGACAGGGCCGACTAGCAAGATGTTACTCAACAGCGAGTTGTGATTCTTTTCGCCGCTGTTGCGGCTGAGAAGTTGATCATGGGATGAAAAGGGCGTTTTTTTATTCTTCTATATACTGCATAGCAGTTTATGAATGCATTTCCCTGACATAGAATGCCTTGCAATGAGCAGCTCGTACACATATGACTCCTTGACCGCGACCACAAATGACAACAAAGACCCATGAATCCATAACAGATCGTATAATCACAAGAAGAAAAATTTCCACGCCCCCCTTACTCCTAAACCCCTTACAATTTCCCATAACGCAGATCGAAACTCAAGCAAAGGTAGCAGACGAAACTACATCTTGACACGCAAAAGATACCTCAGACGGATCTGGGTAACATCATACACAATGTACTCGTTGTACCACAGACTAGCGCCCGGGTACTTGGTATCGCCGGGTTTGACCAATGTGTCGGGCTGGATTTCTCGTTAGCAACCACGTCTTTCCTGTCAGCACCGAGAGAAGCAAGACAAGAACTTACCATCATCACACCCTGTAGTGCTGGGTTCACTACACCAGCATCCTTCCACTTCAACGGGCCATACCTGCCCTTGCCCCACGTAGAAAGCATTCCCTTCTCCTTGGCGTGCTCGCCAGCATTGTAATCGGAATCGTTCAACTCCTGGATGGGATCACCAAGCTCAGCCTCGCAGAGCAAGAGGAGGGCGGTGCCGTCGGATGAATAAGCATTGCAGTAGCCTGCTGACTTGCTGGACATATCGGCTAGGTAGACGCCCTTGCCAAACATGTAACCATTGACGGGGGCTTCCGGCGGCGCGATACGGAGGCCCTGGCTAAGGATGCCACCGAAGTTCGTGGAGCGGGAACCGTGCCACAAGAGCTTGCGATTTTTCTTGAGCTTAAGCTTGCCGTCGGCATAGTCACTCTGCTCAAACCGGTCGAACTCGCCCTGGCGCTCGATACGGAAGATCTCCTCAACTTGGTAGTTAACTCCGTGAGTATGACCCCGTGTCTCAATCAGGTATTCTTGCAGGTTGGTGAACTCGGTCGAAGCGCGGTCCAAAGGAGACATCTCCTGCATCCCGAGACCTTGAAACTGCCTGTCGAGGGGATGGACATCGAACTGGGTTTTGTCGATCTTCATGATGTTGCTGGCTTCCTTCATGTCGTTCAAGTTTTCGAGCAACTCAATTTCTTGCTTCAACAGTTGATCGGTCGCAATGACAGGTGGCCGGTCACGGCCGAATGCGTGCGGGATAACCGAGTAGTAGGTGTTGGAAAGATACTCGACCGCTTCCTGGTATGGAAGACCATAGTCAGAAGCTTTGGAAGGGTTTGTGAAAAGTTCCGAAAGATTCTTGAGCGACTGGAAGCCACGCATGATGGTGGCCTTGCTGAGCTTTCCCAGTGGGAGCTTCTTAGCATCGTACTTGAGTGCCGACATGGTGTTGTCCATCAACTGCTGGTTGAAGATGAACTGCATGAGTTCGGCTACCGGAGGGGCAAGTGTGCATTTGGGAGACTTCCGGTCGTTTTCCTCTTCTTTCGGGCCCGTGCCGCCCTCAACCTCGTCTTCGTCATCGGAGTCATCCTTATAGTTTACCTCGACGAAGGCATACTTCTTGGGCTTGGGATCATCGCCTCGGTTGCTCCAGAGCAATCCCGACTTGTCTTTAAACTTCTTTTCGAAGGCTGCCAGGGCATCTTCGAGCGACGGGAAGTCAAGCTGTGCTTTCTGGCCGAATTCCCCGACACGGCCCCAGCGGGTCCAGACCGCGAAACATGTGTCCAGCTGCGTCAAAAGCTATTTAACCGGTTAGTTTGAGAGCGTGACAGGAGAGATCCAAGCGGTAACTTGCCTGGAGGCGATAGAACTTGTTGTTATTGCCAGCGGAGTTGGTCAAGTTCAAGGATGCGTCATAGACAACACCATCAGAGTCGACATAGACGTGGTAGAAATCGGGAGCACCGACGTCTGTAGGAATCTCTATGGTCTTGTCTTTCAGGACTTGGCCCTCGCCGACAGCTTTCAAGCTTTTGAACTTTGGCTTTTCCAAGGTGTCCTCCTCAGCTTCGGTCTTGACACTACCCTGCAATAGCGACGGTGATCTCTTTCTCTTGGTGCCTCTGGTGTCATCGCCGTTCTTTTGAGAGGAATCGTCATCGTCAGCCATAACAGCGTCGGTAGCGGCATCATCCAAGGAGGACATGTCCAGAGCGTAGTCAGCTTCCGGTTGTTGGACATTATTCTCTTTGGTCTTGAGCAGCCAGTCGACGCTGACGACGGGAATACCAATTTCATAAGCCTTTCTGACTTTTTCACTGATCTTGTTGGCATTTTTGTCGGAGTAAATGACATGGGTGACTCCCTGCATGACGTGCGTCACAATGGTATTTCCTCCGAGGGAATGGACAGTTTCCTTGTACTGGTCTTGGCCGCCCTTGAAGGGTCCGCTGAAGACAATGCGACAGTCTTTCAGCGGCCACTGCGGGGCTGTTGGAGCAGCTTCTTTCTTTGCTCGTTTGGGCGGCATTGTGATGGACTGATGAAGGGTCCCCGAGGTGAGTAGAGTGTGAAGGCGCGTCCGAAAGTAAACAAACGATTGAGCGTGAAGGATGGAAGGATGGAAGGATGGAAGGATGGAAGGATGGAAGGATGAGAGATGACAATGACCGTGTCGGGATTGATTGACAAGGTCAAGTGAGATCAACCTGAGGGAAGAACTTGAAGGAGAAGGAAGGAAGCAGCAACTTCTTTCCTCGGGGAAACATCACTTGATATTGCTCCTTCCTAGTAGTGCGTACAAACAACCATTTGGGTAAGCGCGCTTCCGCGCTCCAGTCTTCCAGGCAACAGCCGCCCCTGTTCTTTCCCTATTCTACCAATTCAACGCGAAATCACGGGACAGACCGCAAGATAGTCGCCCGCTCTTGCCGTTCTTTGGTTCAATGGTTCCAGATCATCGTGTTCAATTCAGGCACAGCAGGCAGCTCAGCTGGTTGACCCACAAAACGCTAGGCAACAACAACCCCTGTACCCCAAACTGGCCCAAAGTGACGTGGTGCCAAGAGTTGGGGTAGCTTTTGGAACTTTTGGGGTTCTGGGACAGCTGGGGAGATGCCGGCGGCAAGACCATCGTCTGGAGGTTTCATAAGGTATTGAAGAAACACCACGACCTGATTGATGTACGAGGTTCCTAGCTCATAGGGATTTGATAATGGGATTGCGGTCGATCCGAACTTATTGGCGGTCATGGCGGAGTTGCCCTCAACTCAGAGCTCATGCACTTTGTCACAGTCCATCAAAAGTCTCCGACTGCACGACCCTGGAGCTGTTAAGACCAGCCTTGTTAAGGCAGGAACACCAACAGAAGCCGTTATAGATCTTCTCATCCCAACTCTTCATCGAGCTCTTTGAGTTCGTGGTTACCAATCACCTTCTTGCTTTGCCAGATTGACCGACCGATCAGTCCGTCGAAAGTCAATAACTTCACACACCTTAACAGAAGCCCTATCTCCCGTCTCCAGCTCTTCCCTCACATCGCATTCAGAGCCACACCACCATGAACCATTAACAGTCCAGCGCAGCAGCCACGGCCACGACCATGGCCACGTCGCCAAGTTAAACCGAGCCAGCCCTGTATCCAAGCCCTCCAAAGTCCAAGAAAAGATCGTCAACCTACCACCCCAAACAAGCTCTTATCGCGCAGTATCGACATCGGCACTCTTTGATAGAGGCCACAGGAGGCTTACCTACATAGTACACGCATGCCGATCCGCATCTCTCCAAGTCCCAAGAAAGGTCTAGACCTTTTCGACTTCCAACCTGCCAACCCGGTCCGACGTCGAGCGTGCTGGCTTCTCTAACGGGACACGCAATGCTTCCATGGTTCCATGATTCTATTTTCGTCTTTGCTTGTCTGCTTGCCTTTCTTGTATTGCTTGTCTTTGCATGTTGCCTGTCTGGCTTTGACAAACAAACAATCAACCCCGCGACGGGCGATCCGAGAATATATCCTGAACACGTTTTGTGCATGATTTATCCTTGCATCTGGTTTGGTTATTTGGGGATTCCGCGATCCCGAATCGTTTGTGTTCCGGGTTCTAGGCCCATGGTCTACTGTGTACATGGTTACGGCCAGGCGACATCCATGTTGGCGATCCATGTAGATTGGGTGATCATGGACTTTCTTGGGTTGTGTCAGGAACAGAAGGCAGACTCGGCGGGAAAAGCATGGCGGGCATGGATGCTGTTTACCGGCTGGCTGGTTTGAAGTGGGCAGTTGTTCCACCTTGCGGTCAGACATGACTGAAGTAGGGAAGACATTGCGATATTTCACAAAGATGTTGAGTTGAAGAGTTGATGGATGTACTTTTGTCAGAATTGCCTTGAACGGAGTATGATATTCATACATAGATATTTGGTGTCCATCCTCCACCGTTCTTCTTCTCTTTTGTCCATCTGGGAAGGAGTCTTGGTCACCTGCTCTGGTACATGTAGGACTTTGTCTACTCAGATCCCATTTTCCCGTTTATGTATGCTTCTCCAAGGCATCCGAAACCAATAACGAAACCCAACCGGTCCCAATGTGCAATTCCCGTTGACCACCGCCGAAACCAGCCCAGCCGGCCCAGTCACCCAGTCACCCAGCTTTCCCATGATGCGCCTATCCGTTCCGCCTTCCCAACCCTCCGTTCTTCCAACCGAGCAACCGACCCAGTGACCAGACTGCAGCGGCGAGCCACAGGGATGAATAACGACCTGAACCGAGAGATGAAAATGATGATGATGATGATGTTGGCCATGATATGATGTGATTATGAAAATAGCGGTGCTAGCGACATTACCTCTAACATGAATGCCGCCTAGTCACCGCGTGTAAGTATGATGATGATGCAGATGCAGATGCAATAGAAAGAAGTGAATGGGAATAATGCCATTTTGTACATGGTTTGAAGTGGAAAAAACGGAAATGATGGCATCGCAAATTGCAAAATGCCGAAAACAAATGTATGCCCATGCGCCCGAGGTATCATCCGTCCGTCCGTCCGTTCCCCAGTCCATCCGTCCAGTTTATGTCCATCCATCGCCAAAATATTGGTCTTGTTTCGAGCCGGCGGGCTTTGTGCCTCCTTCCTGGCGTCGTTAACCTCTGTGCAGTGCGTTGATAGTGCAACTGCTTGTCAAGTATGCTTCTTGTAAATCCTACACATTTCGCCTGTTTATTCCACCGTCTCCCTCCTCTTTGGTTAGGTTGGCTTCTGGTTCTCCTCCTTCACGCTTGTTTGCTTGCTTCTAGCTTTTTCGCCCTCGCGCTCGTCTGTAGAGGTAGGTAGCTTGCCCTCTTGCGAATTGCTGCTGGGACCGGCCAGAAGTTCCGCTTGATGTTGATGACGAGCCGAGTCCTGAGGACTGGAGACTGGTGGCTGGTAATGCTATACTGCCACCGTACTCTCGCCTCGGAGCTCTTTGCAACGAGGATGGCTGCAGGTGCCGCAGTAGAGTGTGCTCTTGCCACAGGCGACCACCTTGGCGCATGAGCACGTTGTCGACTGCGAGATGAGCGTGGTCGAGCACGCGTACGAGATCTTGGTGCCGCACATCTTGGCTGTTTTGGTTGTCGGGTTGACTTTGAACGAAGGTGAAGTGGTGATGGTTGAAGAGCGAATGGTAGCTGCGCCGGTCTTGATTGGTTGGGTTTGTTGCTTGGCTGAAGTTTAGCGATTGCTGATCAGCTGCTTCTTGGGTAGCAGTTTGGTGAGGATCTGGGGGATCGCTGTTAGCAATTTGTTTCTGCGGGTTTCGCACCAACCTTTCGAGCTTCGATTTCGACAACCTCGAATTCGAACTCAGGGCCAAAAGTAAAGGAGATTGTCAAACTTACATCGACTTGAATTGTCAGTGGCAAGAGAAATGGAACCTTCTTCCTTGCTTGATTGAGGAAGATTCGGTTGAATCCGTCGCAAGCGAGCGCAAGAAGAGAATGAAGTTCGACCGGTGAGAGAAGGATGCGGGATTCAGCCGTTTGTCAGCTAGCACGCAGACGCAGGAAATTGGTCTGTCTCGATTCGAAAGACTCCTCCTGTGCGTTGATGGTCTTGCGAGAGGCGAGCAGGCGCAGCCAGGCAGTGGTGTTCGGCCGGCCGGGGTGTTGAAATGTCTGAAGTGGCAGGTACCGGAGTGTGCGTGTGTGTGGCCGTTTGCAAGTGTGTCGGGTAAGAAACACAACCCAGTGATCACTCTCGTCGGAGGTCCCCGATGGTGGTAGTGGTTTGTGGTTTGCGGTTCGGGTTTGAAATGGTCAGGGCTCGACGGATATATAGAAGATTCGCTCCTTCTCCCGTTCTTCTGTTCCCTTCCCAGTTTGTCCTTGTGTGCGTTTCGAGTCGGGTCTTTTAAGATTGGAGATTCGGATGTGTAAAAGGTTGCTGCAGCAAAGAGCCGCCAAGAGTTGCAAATGCGTGACCGTGTCAAAGTCGGTTCGACTAGGGGTTTAATCTGAAGATGCAAAAGGCACCCAACTGCTTGTATTATTCCCCTTTTTCTCTCTGCTCAGCTCATCAATACGATGGACGGATCGGGTCATCCACATGTCGGTGTGTATAGGTTGAGTGGTGTTGTGTTATTGTCCCATGCTATTGTGGTCAGTCGTCTGGCAACAAACGGGCAAGGTGGTGGTAGATAAGGAAATTTCCAGAGGGCTGAGCTGATGACAGGATCGTATAGGGTACTTGGATCAGAAATATATCTCGCCGGGCGCATCGGGCTTGCCCATGTCATTCTCTCGTCCATGTTCATGCCCATGCCCATGCCCTGGTCGGCTGGGCCCTGAAGTCTCTTTCTTGTGCTGTGTCCCACTCCATGACTCCCTCCGGGTCCTCATCAAGATGACTCCTGAATGGTCGCCGTGCTTCCTGCTGCAACGCTGATGTCGACATGGCCCAGGATGCCACCGGATGGACCCAAAATTGGCACTTATGGCTTCTCATGATGAAGTAATGGCCGCTGCAAGCCCCGTTGATCCTTGTTCCCCTTGATTGGGGCTTTTTTCTTTTCTTTTCCCTGGCCGGCCAAGCCAAGTATGGGTGGTTATGGTCGGCAGGGTCGATGATCTACGTCATGCGGCAGCAAAGCTGGTCAACAAGGGGACCGGAGGGGAACTTCACGAGGGGCTTCGAGAGTGTGCCTGTACACGCTTCTTGGCTGGCAGTCCAAACAAAAATTGCTCTTGCCCGTCGCTGGTGTGGTGCAAAATTGCAGTTACGGGACCAGTACCAGTCCGTTCCAGGCCGGTACGCCGTGTTAGTGGCTGGCCCCACGCGTTTTATGGGCCTGTCCTCTGCACCTGCGTGGCAGAGCGATGGGCTTTATCCACTCATCCACCCTCCCCGCCAACCCCCGGTCCAGGCCCATATGAGTCCGGCCACGTCGTGCTGCAGACACACGAGAGCATTTCCGAGGACAGTACTGCTAGCAGATTTGGGTAGTTTTTATGAAGGGGTTTGTTAGCTTTACTGTACATGCGCATTATTT